ACGACGCCGTCGAACCTCCTTTCCGGCAGAATCCCCTCGCGCCGGAGCGTGATTAGCAGCGCGATCGCCCCGCCCAGTGACTCCGCGTACAGGAACGCCGGCAGATCCACCGCGTACCTCGCCCGGAAGCTATTGAAGAAGGAGATGCAGTCGTCAACGACGAGACTGATGTCCGGCACGTGGGCGACGAGGCCCTCCGAGTAGCCGTGGCCTATATGGTCGATGGCGCAGACCGCGAAGCCGTGCTTAGCCACGTGCACGGCTGTGAGCTGGATGAGCCAGCTGGACTCACCGGTGAAGCCGTGGACCACACAGACGATGCCCCTGAGGGGCGCGGACTGGTCCCGCGGGGCCCACCACTGGGTGAAGAGCTTGAGGCTTTGCTTGCCGCTGCTGGTGATGTAGTCGGATCCGTGGTTCACGGCGTGGTGGGCGTAGAATTCATCCGGAGTGAGGGAGCCGAAGGGACTCGAGTCGCTGGCCTCTGCGACGGGGTGCTTGTACTTGGACATGGCGTTTTGTTTGATTTGGTTTTGGTTGAGCGGATATTTTGTGCCTTTGTGTGTGTGTGTGTGTAAAGTAAGTGTTACTGTGTTAGAGAGTGGGTGAGGTAGGAGGACGGTGAAAATATCGTTGCATTTAATATTACTTATTATTGACTAGTATTAAGACTCATGTACAATATGCACGAGTGTTGAGTTAATGAATATATATATGTAAAGTTATTTATGCCTAATACCAAACCTAACTCTAGAGCAAAAATAATATAAAAACAACATCACGAAGTATAGATTTTCGTCATGTCAGCATCCGAAGCGTGAGAATCTCTCACCTATGCTCAACACGTTTTGAATTAATATATAGGAAGAGAAGAGATTTGTCGTTGGAAGGATGATTGGTTGTAGTGTAGAAGGAACCATTATTCGGAATATTTTATTTATAAACTAAACAACTAAAGAGTAGTGTTTTTATTTTTTTATCGCAAAAAAAAGTAGTGTTTTTCATTAATTTTAATTTCGTTCGTGCACACGACTTGTGATTAGCGAGCTAATTGGTTAGGCACAATGTTCAAGATTTTGAACCACGCTGTTGAACGGGTGATCAAACGGTTTGACTGATTGTTGACCAAAGTGTGATTCTAAAGGGAATTGGGACCCTGGTTTGATATTTCAACTATGTCTTCAAAAGTTTTTAAATTGGGACCCTGGTTAACTGACCTTATAAATCCACCAAAAGGTAGAGTTAAGGATAAACACTAATAAAAGTGTCGTAAACTAAAACAAAAGAAAGAATGATCCAAACATCCAACGGCGATGATGTACACTGATACCGGTATGGTGGACGCTTAATCCACATACAAAACAAGAAGCTCCCACTAGTGGAGACCTTCTACTTCAACAAGTGGAGAATATCTAACTTCAACTAGTGGAGAATAACACACTAACTAACAATACATACACCGAAGCTAACGACAAAATACTATTTCCCCTAATCCACACAAGCAACCTACAAAAAAACACAACAAACAAACCCCACGAACAAAACCACAAAAGCTACAGAAATCGACCACAGTACTCAAATCTCCAATTGAAAACAGCGGCTAGAAAGAATCTCAGTCCAGATATGAACTCCTGAAGTTGTCAAAGAGGGGAAGAAGAGGCCCGAAGAGGTCGGGCTCGAAGAGCTACGTCGGAAGAGCCCAAACTCGAGCACTCGGAGGGGACCTACCTGCAACATAGGCCAACCGGAAGCCGCCTACCTGAAAGAATCCGACGGACGAGTGGCCAAGCGGCTAACCTTCGACCGGTACAAGACAGGAGACTAAATGACAATGCAACAACCCAAACCTGGCCAAAGAGAGGGCGATGCAACAAGATTCAGCGCAGACCCTCGCCCACCGAAGGGCAGCAAGATGGGTAGGCATAGTTTCTCCTACCTCAACCATGGCTGGATACGAGGATTGCAACTTGGGTGTAGCAGATTTCTGAGGAGAGAAGGGGCGTGCGGGCTAAAAATGGGGTTATCATGCTTTCGGCATAAAGAGCTGAAATTTGGAGAAGGATAATTGTTTCGGTTGGTCCTAATCTTGCCACATGAACCTAATTAATGGGGTTTAACACTTGTTGTGCTAGTTTACCTTTTGAGATCCTAATCAACCTAATGACTATCCTGGAGGCACAACAACAAGTCGAGCTAGGACTCCAGGTTAGTCGAATGAAACCTCGACCTAGAAGTGAAGAGGTCGATGAAGAACCTCAAAGGCAAATTACCTCAGCGAAGACCAGAACAGTTAAATATAGAAGGAACAGATCTGTTATCTTGGTTATACCTAGAACGACCACCAAATGAGGTAGAATTGTGTGAAGCCTCAAATAAGGAGTAGTGTGAATACAATAACAAGATTACTTAAGAAATATGAATACTTGGGAAAGGCGTATACTTGGGCAGCAGGATTGGGCAAATCTTCAACAACAAGGTAAACGAATTCATATAAAGAGGTGAGGTATGATCATCATTCTTCTTCTCTCTCTGAACATTTTAAGGTAATACACACTATATACTTCATCACTCCCGATTACTGGTTTGAGTGTCGAAGCTACTACGTCGAGTCAACCTTCGACGTTGGTTTGCAGGTTATTCTACTGGTTAAAGGATGAATCAAAGGA